ATGAATATTCTGTGTTACATATGACACAAAATGTTGACATCTCAACAAACCTCATACAGATATTCTGGTTGCTTTTTAATAACAATTTTAAATGAATTTGAGAAAAATATTTAACTAACTTGGCCTTGTTGGTTTTGATTCAACTGGGATGCCTTTAGGGTGAAATTTCTATGATACAAGGAGAGCTGAAAGATTTTATGACAAAAATAGTAATAATAATGATAATGATAAAGAATAATGGCTTTGAGGACACAGGCATTAAATCATATTAATAATTAGGGGAGGTGTTTCAAAGAAAATGAGTACCTTAACACACATACAATGGGCAAACTGAATTTGGTCCTAGTGAGAACCAGTCTGTTCTGCTGAAAAGTACAAAGCCAGTATTCCACTATTAAAGGGCACAAGGGAACATTTCTATGTAGAGCTAAGTTACAGCCCACTTGGGAAAAAAGTGCCTACCCACAAAGGTAAATTATGTCCCCTGGGGCAAGCCAGGAAAGGGTCCACTCACTTCATGTGGGTGGACGCACTAATCCCAGGAGGCCATTTTATTTACTGCTTCTGCCTACTGGATCAGGCTCATTTGTTTTTATATCTCAAATCTATGTGTAATCCTTGCTCACACTGTATGTGTTATTATAAAACACCTTTCAGTATGCAACTGTTAAAATGAAGTGCTCCAAACAAATCTTCTCTTAGGGCAGTAACTCCTTAATATAAACTTCATTTAATAAAACTTGTAGTGATTCCAAAAAGAAAAGGGTAAGGCATACTCAGAGAAAATGTCTAGAAGAAATTTGCAATTAATATTTTACAAGACATTTAGATTCCACAGATTCTTCCTGTTAAAATTTAAGAGCTTTTTCAAAACTGTATTCCTCTCTGTTATTACATCCTTAATTAAATTAATTTATACAGTGAATGCTCTAATGATATTGCTGTAGATTTTCAATCAAAAAGCCTCATTGCTAGAGACAATATGTGTTAAGACCTTGGGAAAAAACATGCATAAGGCATGGTGCTGTCACTGGCAGAAGGACATTTGGCCCTGACATCTGATTACTAAAAAGGTCTTAGTGGTTTTTCTGTGCCTCAATGAAGGTCTTTTATTTTACTTTACCTTTTAATTGAGCTAAGTTAGGTCAATGAAAATGAAATAAATCTTGCATATTGCCTTTATAAGGGTTTCTTCCTTTGTTGGACATATAATAGACAATCACACATTTACTGAACAACACCATCACTTAGTTTTGCCTGTGTGAAACCCTAAATAAAGGAGACTACCTTTAAGCACAATTTACTACACCATCAAAGCAGAGGCAACTAAAATTTGTTCAAGAACGCAAAAGGCACAGCACTGGAAGAAAGAGGCAATCTAATGATGCTGCACCAAACCCCAATGGCTCATCAAGCACCCAGCCTTTTCAGACAGTTAATCGTATTCCCTTCAGGCTACAAGAGCATTACTTACCAGGCTCTCGAGAGTGTGTGAGTGTGTGTGTGTGTGTGTGTGTGTGTGTGACACAAAACTGGTATTCTGTCACCACTGGAAAAGCACAAAAGTATAAAGCAAGTATGTACTAATTCCCATCCTCATGGTGAGACCAACTAGAGGCCTCATCAGGCTGGACCTTAGCTATTTCATCCCAGTGCCTAGCTAAGTTCCTGGCTTGGAGCAAGCACCCAATAACCATTTGTGATTATTTTTATGAAATATCAGTAATTAATGGGCACTGTACCTAACATTTAATCTGTAGCTTAACCATCAAGTAACCTTTTCCAGAGGAAAATTTATCAAACCAAGGAAATGATTTTTAGCTTCTCATTGTTTTTCTGTATGAAGATGTTGAATTTGCTCCTTTTATTTGTAGTATTATATTTCTAGGATTTATGCTGAATATTTCAGAAGATACAAGATCCAGTATCTTAGTTACAAAGTAAAAGGCAGGCTTGAGAAATGTGTCCCAAATCACTTTGCACTGCTCAGTAAGGCCCTGATTCTTCACCTTAATCCCACCATCCTTTCCCCAACGGCCCATTTAAAGGGTCTCTAAAACACAATATGAAAAGGAGTGTACTTTTAAATTGAAAACAAAGAGCAAACACTTTCAACTCCATATAGACAGTCCTATCAACTTGTTTCCCACCCTGTACTAACCAAGGTCTTTGTTTCCTTCATGATAGGAAGACAGCACATAAAGGGAAAGCAAACCTCTAAACATTAATCAAGTTGGGTTGCACAGTTAAAGTTCCTTAAGATACAAAAACATCAACTGCAAAAGAAAACTGCATTGGAAAAAAAAAAACAGCACCATTTGATCTTGTTATAAATGGAAAGTTTTGGACACTTTAAAAAAAAAGCAGCAAGTGCCTTTTTAATGGATTTTATCCGCAGGAAAATGATTACAACCAGAAAAGCTTTAAAGTGTCAGCTGGTGAAGCATTTTTCTTTATTCGTTTTATTTTTATTCAGAAGGAAATTGAAGGCATATGGCAAAGTGCATCATTAATTTCTTATTAATTTCATAATATGAAGGCAACTGGTTAAAATAGTAGTGCCACAACTTTAAATTACCGAACTCACTTGGTATTTAATGAGAGATTTAGCACAGCAGGGGTTCTGTTAAATTAAGTTATGCCTTCACATCACAGTGGGAAAACAGGTGTATATTGGTTTAGAATTATGGAAATGTTGACGAATTCCAAGCCTTGTAATCAAACAGCAAGGCTCCCTGTAATATTTTTTCCCAAGAATATGTATTAATCTTTTATGTCTGGTCTCATTTCTTCTTGTCCACCAAAGGCTTACAGCTGAAAGGCAACCACTTTCATGTTTTTCTTGCAGCTGTTAAGGGCGATGTTTATCAGATAGAGCCGAGAGATGTGGAACTCCGTCCCCATTTACCACATTTAAAACAGCAAATGGAGCAAATGTATACACTGTGAAGGCTATGAGCCTTGCAAATTAGATCTGACTTTTCAAATTTTTGTTTAGTCTTCCTCAAGTAATTGGGCATATGAAATTGAAACGGCTAAAAAGAAACCAAAAAACAATCTTATCAATCATCTTTTTCCAACTCGAATATTATTGCCCTTAATAATGGGTCTCCAAAGTTATCACTTCTAAATTTCACACGCAGAAGTATTAGGAAGAGGAAAAAAAGCACACTATTAAGAAATACATACAGAAGGTGTTATTTGTTTGCCAAGAAAAGGGTCAGAATGAGATATCCCAAACAGAAGCATACTCAGTCAGCCTTTTTATGCATTGCAACATGACCTGTTCAAATTAACTCTGGGTTTCTGGAAAGTGTCTTCACATAGGAATAGGGCATGCTGGGAGATGTGCTTCTAGTACAGGGGATGCATCCAAATTAATCAAGCTTTGCATTCAGTTAAAATATGATGCTATCTGGCATCAAACTATATTATACTTTAAATGGTAAATAACGATTCATCTCAAGTAATTTTTTAAGACATATAGGAGGAATTTTGTGTACTAATTATTGTAAAGCATTTATTTTTAAGAGAAAGAACACAAAAGTGGTCTTTGCATTTGATTAGGATCCTGGAATATAAAAATTATTGCCTTCTATTGCTGGCTGGGCCAGTAAATGCCATGATTGCTTCATTCAGCAATGTGACCTAACACTGCAATCTTCTAGAATTACATTGGAAAAATTCTATTTACATGGAGAATTAAGCTGAAATACTACTACTTTTTAAAAAGTCACTAAGCAAAACACTTAGACTTAATAAAAGCAGCCTTACTAAAAATTACCTTGGAAGTTTCAAGGAGTAGTTATATAGGGAGGGATCATTCTGGTACCACATACTTGCTTTTCTATTCTTTGATTTGCTCTTATGAAAAAAAGGAAAACCAAAGTGGCATGATTCAGGATTAAGGTTCATAATTTATTAGTTGAGTGATTAAAAAGCTTAATACTCTGAAGACATTTTGTTGAGCATCTTGCAACTATAAATATAAAATTTTGAATGGAGCTATGGTGAATTACACAAATGCTATCTTTTCTGAGGGTATGGGGATAAAATATGTATGTGTGCCCATGTTAGTATGCATGTGCATGCACACACACATTTTAGTATATGAGTACAGAGAGAGATAAAGTTAGAATTGCATCCAGAAAACATTATGGGCATTATTTTATCTTTGTTTTACTAAACCAAGTTTCAATAAGTTCAATATAACTGTACTGTTTATCCAGTTCCTTCATTATAACCAATGCATATCATTATGATATTGAATGAGCTCATCACTGATATTTGGGAAAATATCCAAACAGCATAGGGAAATTTATACTTGCATGCAATATATGAGTGCCACAAAATCCTTTAAAATAATTTATTCTGATGAAGTTTCTCTATGCAACATCAGTTCATTTCTAGTGTATTGTACTAATCATTGAATATTACTGGGAAGGAAATGGAAAAAAATACTGTAAGCTTTGTATTTTCTGTTCTGTATCAACATGAAGCCACAAATTGGACGTTAAAACACTGACTTTGTTAACCACCATTGGCTGTTTAGAAATCATTAGGAGGCTTAATATTATGGCTGTACAGGGTACATTTTGTTCTTTCAAAAGAAAATCTAAAGACTAAATTTGAAAAGGGGCTCCTGGTGAGTAAAAGCTTTTCCTTTTCCATTTGCTTCACTTGTGTGTATTGGGTTTTTTTTTTCCTTTTAAAATCTTAGCCCACCTGATAGTCTTTGGCAGCCGCTATACCCAGTGGGGTCACTCTGATTTTCTAACCAGGGGACCTGCTGTTTGAGAGCTCTTCCCATCAGCATTAATGCCAGTGCTTCGTTATGGGCTGGCCAGCTGGTCTGGCTGCTGTAGGGAACACACGGGTCAGCACACCCCTCAAAAGACCAAAGTCATTTTTGGCACTAAGAACCTATAACTAGAACCTTCAGTTGAAAGGACCATTTTCAAGCAATAAAGTGATTGTGGTACAAAAGTAAACCGACTCACCCCAGGTAAAGTTTTAATATTGTGCAGTGCATTCTGGGCTTCAAGTGCAGCTTTTCTTGTATAAAATGTTACGAAACAACAACCTACAGAGAGAAATAAAAAGATTTTAGAAATTTCTGTGAATGCTTTGCTTAGATATAATGGAGACTGTGGTGAACAAATAATCTACTTAAAAGGATGCACAATTTAAAAATAATAAAGTGCATGAGAACAGTAATAACAACATCTCAAGCATTTACACAGTGCCTTTCATCTAAATCGCATTTATTAGCTTTACCCACAATGGAGATCAATTCATAACTCTGTGTACCAGCTATCTGGAATAGAGCTATTCAAGAATGAGGGTGGGAGGTGGTGGCATGAGGTAAGGTGTTAATGGGACTTGTCACATAGCAACTACATGAAGAGAAGTATTTAATCACAGTAACAATAACTACACTAACAGTAACAATAAACTTACACTAATGTAATTTTCTTAAAGGGTATCTCTAGAACATCATACTTTGAAAACACTTTCTAACCTCAAAGGTTTAGGCAACTGGATTGTGAGTTTCTTAAAAGTGAGGATATTCTTTTTTATCTGCACCATAGTACATAATGGAAAGTTCTATACTCATGACTACTCAACCTTGTTTGCCAAAATGAAAGGCTGTGTTTTAGACAATTTAGAAATTAAGTTACAATCTGATGGAACTCTGATCTGTGCAGTAAGTATGGCTGTGGCACACCTCTGGACTCCTCATTTCCAAGAGCCCATGGAGTGAGTACTGGCTCAAAGCCCCTGCAGGGCAGGCCAGCAGATACCCTCTTTCTAACCAAATTCCTTCCTCAAAGAAGATGTTGAAACCTTAAACAATTCCTTCAGTGCCCTGAAGAATAGCTGTCCCTTCTTCAACTTATAAAGATGCTGGTTAACAATATTTTAATCAGCATGCAGTTTCTTAGCACTATTGGGCTTGGGAAAAGGGAGTAAATAAAAACTTTTAAAAGTTAAACTAAAAAAGATACTACCTTTGATCTAGGCTGTCTTTGGTTAGCTGGGGATGAGGAAAAAAATGGAATGAGGCACTCTGTAAAACTATATATATTTTAACTCAGCTTTGGGAAAGGGTCCTAATGCATGGAGCCAGAGAAGGATGGGATGAGCTTAGAAGGGTACTCACACCGCAAGTGCAGAAAACCTGAGAGAAATGTATAGCACTTAGACATCAGTATGGGCTATATTTAAGGAATGATGCAAATATAACAAAAAGCAGAACAAAAAAACACAGTTGCAGGCAGAGAGCGGGCATTGCAAGGGATCATAGATTTAGTCACACACTGGCATTCTGACTTCTCAAAATATAATATTCATTCAGTGGAACAGGAGCATGATACCATTTATGCAACATTCTTAAAGATATCTAAGATGTTTCCTCCTCATTTGAAAAAAAAATGTAGAATTTTTTGTCTTATACCAAGATTAAAATATTCAAAACCTTCACCTTTTGGACAAAGAGTATGACCCTAGTTTCTTGGCATTTAAAAAATGCCATGCATCCAAGGATCAGAAACCCTTGAAATATATCATTTGGATGATAGTGGGAAATCAAAATTAAGAAGTTTAAGAATCATAAATGGAAAGACTGACCATCTTTATGTGATCTTTACTTCAGCTATTTTGATTTCTTTGACAAAAGTCCACTTGGCCACGTTACTTGACAGTAGACCTTCTACCGAACTGATTAACTTAACTAATGTGACATAGGCATAATGAAAGCATAATGGCATAATGAAAGCCTCAGAAAACCTGTAAGAATAACTCATAATCAAGGAATAATATTAAACAAGAAATTCCCAATTTCTAGTAACCTATCATAATAATTTTTAGAGGGAAAAATATAAAACATGCATCACTAGGCTTAGTACAGAAACAAAAACAGGAAAAGCTCTCCACATGCTTCTAGCAAAAACTCTTAGTAAGTTCTTTCATTCTCCTAAGCTGATATGGGTGGCTTCCAGATAAGGATGTAATTGAGAAGTTCTAAATTTCAACTTCATTAATAATCAAAGCTTAAAAAAAAAATACGACCCTTTGAAGAAGGTGACTTTTTTTTTGGTACCAGGGATTGAACTCAGGTCCTTGTGCTTGTGAGGCAAGCAGCAGAACCACTGAGCTAAATCCCTGGCCCAGAAGAAGGTGACTTTTGAGGGTATGATCTACTTAAAAAAAAAAAGTGACAAGCAGTGTTCACTTGGCTGGAATGAACGCAATTAAAGAAGAGAAAAGCTCAGGAAATGAAAAATATGCTCAGAGTCAAGAATGAAAAAGCTGCTGGGTGTGGTGCTACAAGCCTATAATCCTGGTACTTGGCAGGTTGAGGCAGAAGGATTACCGTGAGTTCAAGGCCAGCCTGGGCTACATAATGAGTTCAAAGCCAGCCTGAACTAAATTGTGAGACCTTGTCTCCAAAAAAAAAGGGAATGGAGAATAAAAAAACTTAGGGTCAAGAATGAAAAGTATAGTTTGGCCTAAAAGAACAGAAAAATGGAAGGGGATTGAAAATGGGAAGGTAAATACAATGAGAAGACAAAAGGAACGATGAATGATGATGTAAACTGAGGAAACTGTGTGTCCTTGGTGTTAGGCCAATTTGAAGAGCTTTGACCAACATAAAGTAGTCTTAGGAGTAAAGGAACCTCTCCTACCTTGGTCACTCAAACTAAATCCCTACTGCTTCTCACTGCCCAAGAGCCCGTGAGGACCATCCATCCACCTAAGTATTAAAATGGTACCACTGGGAAATGAGACATTTAATTCCCTTTAGCTATTTCCCTTAGTGTGAATTTGACTAAAGTGCTTTCTTCTTAGAAAAGGTTCTTTTATTGGTGATTTGGTTTTTTCTTTCTTTTGTTTTTCTTTTTCTTTTTCTATTTTTTGAGGAAAGGTAATTTTGAAGCTGGTAAGCAGGAGAGGTGGGGAAAGGAATGAAGAGAGGTCCCTAGTGTACAGAAGAGGAGCTGGGAATACCATAAGTCTCCAGCTCTTTCAGAGACCGATCACTACATTTCCTTTTCAAATGACATAGAGCTCATAACACTTTGACTTCATATCCACTTAAACAGAGATTCTTTAAGACTGTATCAAGATAATCTCTAGTTTTAGTGTAGCACATGGGAGACTATCTTAGGTAACATGAGTGACCAGCTTATTTCACTGTTCATTTACCACAAAGCAACAGCTCAACTCCAACAGTGCTATGCTTGGCAAGTAAACTTGTGAATTCAAAAAAGGTATCCAGGGCTGGGGAATGTAGTTCAGTGGCACCGCACCTGCCTGGCAAGCACAAGGTCCTAAGTTCAATCTCCCATACAAAAAAAAAGGTGGCCCCATCTTAAGTGGGCACAGCCCCTCACCACAGTCCATGGCTTGGTGAGCAGAGCCCAAGCTACATTTCTGCTCCTATTCACAGCTTAGGCTGGGCACCCTCGTACATATAGCAACTGGTACAAATGTACAGGTCCTGGGACACACAGAAAGACTGAGAATATCACCTCCAAAACTCTTCTTTTGGTTTTATAGTTTGGTTCTTGAATGACTTAGAAGAAAATATCTCATCTTCTCTGTACCTTAGTTAACCCTAGTTTTACTACCTCTGATCAATGAATAATAACCAGGTCTAAAATCCTTCACCCTATCCCAAAGAATCCATTGGATATTTCACCATAGTGTTTCATTCAGAACACATTTTAAAATTATTTTTAACTTATATGGTTAAAAATGACATATTACATTTGGCATGCATAATAATTCACTTAAAACAGTGTTTGGCTGGGTTACCTTAAAATTTGCAGAGTAATAATACAGACCTCCAAGTTAAAAGAGTCATTTTAGATGCAGCAGTTAGTATTTCTCTTCTAATGGGACTCTGGTACGTTTCCAGAATCAGGCTGTATCAGAAAGATTGTTGGTTCTATGAGTACTGTCCCAGACACCAGTTACAGTTTCTTTTAAAAAAAAATCTATATTGCATGATTTCTCCTATATGAGAAACCCAAAATGCCAGGGAGCTACTATAGATCCCAGAAAACCCATGAAGGCTCAACAATTTTCTTTCTTGCTGGCCCTAACTGAAAGTACAGCTGTTATGGGAACCACCTGTCTCTTAGATTTCCCCACGCCAGCTGTAACTCAGGTTTGAAATGTACTGGATTCATTTCCAGGTCAGCTGTAACGCCAGATGGCTCAGCCTTTGGATTCAGGGGACATGCCTCCCTCCCTCTGCAGGTTCTGTTTCAACATCAGTGTCAGGTGGGTGGTTAAACATCTACAATACCCAGATGTTCTTCAGTGGTCAGTGGTTGCAACACGTATCAGAGGGTACCAGTCCCTCAGGCCTGTGTTCATGTCTGGGATCCACCCTTTTCCTGCTGTCCATGGAGTACAGAGAAAAGAGCCTTGTTCCACATAAAATAAACACATCATCATCATCATCATCATCATCATCATCATCATCATCATCATCATCATCAACAACAACAAAACCAAAACAAAAAGGAGTGACTGGCCAGGGGACTCTGGGGTCAGCAGAGGCTGATGCAGTTTGATGAATCAGGTGCTTTAATAAGTCTGAACCCTCACATTTCTGCTTAATGCTGGTAATTTTTGCTGTTCCACATTTTCGTGGTTTGCTCATTTGACACTGTCTAATAAGCACTTACACTTTACAATTTGTGCCACCCTTATCCACTCATTCAGGAGTTTTTGCCAGGGGCAGCAGCCAAATTAGAAAAGACAAATGTGATGTCTCTCCACCAGGTTACTTCCTGATATTCATGCAACAATTTCAATAATCCATTGGGTTAATAAAAGCTTTGGAAGTTGAAACAATACAAAAAAAATCCAAGCATTCCTCATGTGTCCATTTATGAATCTCCCTCACATTAGTCCTAACTGGGAATTTTAAAATTCATAGGTGAAATAGGTACACAGGTGAAACTTGAGAGCTGATTCCAAAACCCAGTATGAGTCTCCAGTACACAGAGAACCTAACATTTCCACTGATGACTCCTTTTGTTGATCACCAAAAGATTCTGATGACTC